TATATTTGTTTTTGGCAGCAGTAACAATTGAACCCAGGTTCTTGAACATTTTAGTCAAGTATTCTACTATGAGCTGCAATTCTAACCCATGCCTTTAGGTTTTGAATGTGAATTTATATTGTATAGTATCTTCAAGCAATAGGCCTCTAGAGGAAACATTAAAAACACGGATTATTTGTGACTTTTCAAAAACAAGCTCCTGGAGCAATATTTCCCCAAAGCAAATAGGAAGACAATAAAGACACACTGCGGCTTTTTGAATATTTGCAGGTTTGTGAAGAGCTCTTGATGAATGCCATTTTCTACCCAAGTCCATGCATGTGTGTCTCTTACTCATGCTGCTTGTTCAGCACCAACAGTTCACCATTTATTTATTTTTCTGTTTCAGGCAATGTCTTTGAGAAATGTCAACTTGATAGAAACATTATATATGAGATATAAGTTGCCTTGATGTACTTTGTTTTAAATTGCAAAAGTCATTTCCCAACATTCACATGTATGCCATCCTTGAGATCTGAGACTCATGAAGGTACTTGGAACTACTGTTAACTCATCTTTTCCATGCAACTGAGAAGGTTTGAGAAGTGGGTCAAAAATCGGTCAAGATAGTCAGCAATATCTTATTATTTATTAAATAAGAGGTATGTGGTTATACTGATAGTTCTTATTTTTAATTAAAGTGATCTTGTACTGCCTATGTAAATATTTCTTGCATGTATGTCTGCCTCACATACTAAAACTCTAGCAATACTTTTCCATTTAAACAGACCTTGTCCTTAAATATATGCCTGATTTACAGCCTGTTTTCAGGGCCTACATTGACTTTGAGGTGGTTGCACCCTTAGCTGCTGAAAATGAGAGACCACTGGGAGTAGTTGATCTCAAAGTACAGAGCTGGGGCTTCTTATCACTAACAGGAATGAACTAGGACTTCTGTCTGTCCTGACACCTTCTGTGCCTGCCCACTGAATGAAACCCTGTTTTCCTGTTTGCTTCTTTGTATGTGGACAGTACTGAATTCCACAGTTATGGAAGTCACTGAGGCTGACTCTCTTTTGCTTATAGCCCCACTAAAATGAACATTTTCCTTTTCTGCCACACTTGCAGTGCTCTGTGTTGGCTGTTTAGTTTATTACAAATCTAAGTTCATCTGTTCTCTGAGTCTCTACTATTGTACTTGAAGCAGTCTCATGGTACATCAGTCTCAAGGTAGTATAAAAAGCTTCTAGTATCTCTAATATTCCCACCAATATGTAGTTTTTATTTGGACTAACATTGATCCAAATGTTTGATAATCATAACTTGTTAGATGAGACCCCTTATTTTCTGACTCAAAATTTTTTTCTAACCTGGAATTTACTTCTTGCTTTTTTCTGAATATTAAAATCATTTAGTTTATTAAGCATTTAAAATTTCCATTTCTTATTTTTATTATTGTAGTCTGATTGAAACTTGACCATTGAACATAAATCATTATTTTTTCACTAATGTCATTATTTTATTTGAATGGATATTTATTTAGAATGAGGCTACTTAAAAAGTTTCTTATTGAGCCTGCCAGTGGTGGCTCAAGCCTTTAATCCCAGCATTTGGGAGATAGAGGCAGGCAGTTCTCTGTGACTTCGAGGCCAGCCTAGTCTACAGAGCTAGTTCCAGGGCAGGTTCCAAAGCTACACAGAGAAACCCTGTCTCAAGCCTCCCCCAAAAGAAATCTCATTTTTAATTTATACTTTTCATTCATTAGTGTAGATAGTATATATGCATTATTTCTGTTGCTGTTTTCATTTTCAAGAGCTAGCACTAATTCTTTACATCTTTCTTATAGTCCCTTATGATTGAATGTAGCCTTTTAAAATGTGTATTTCATTCTGGTAATTGAATTTTGACATTTTTTATTTTGTAATATAAAAACCTGGAACAATAAAATTACATGTCATAATGCTTTTTGTTAGATTAGACCAAAGTCCCTGTTTATTGCCATTACAATTTATTTCAAATTATCTGAGATTGTTTTTGAAAATGTCAGTCATCTCTGAATTACTTAGATTAAAATTCTTAATTTCTAATATCTTACAATTTTCATATGGTTATACTGATTCCTAATTTAATTAAAATATGATTGTATGGTTTGAGGTTTTTCTAAGTAGTTTTTCTTTGTGGTTTATTCACCTGTCTATAGTCATTAGCAACCCATATAAAACATCAAAAGAAAGAAATGTGTGTAGTTGTCTGTATGTATAACTTATAAAACTTGTTTATAATATTTAAGCCTAATACATTTACTTATATTTTCAATTATTCTACTAATTTCTAATTGTATTTATAGGTGCAATTCTGACTCAGGTATCTCTGTTTTCAAAGTTTGCTTCAACATTGAATTTGTTACTATAAACTTCAGATGTTGATGAATCTACCATTTAGGATTGTGAATGATTTTCTTTTTTCTATTTGTTTCCTTGTTTGATAACATTTATATTATAATATTATTACTATATCAGTTTTCTGCTTACCCATCCATTTATGGCATCTGTCTTAGAACCCAATTAGGTCTTATTTTATAAAGTTTGATAATTTTAATATTTTTGTTAGAGTGTTTAGTTATTATTTATAATTACATACAATTTGAGTACATATTATTCTTGTGATATATGTATTCTACATGGAATTATTAAATAAGGCTAATAAATAGACCAATAAATATCAAAACATATATTTGTTCCAACCTGTTCAACTGCAACTTTGTACACTTGGATCAATGTCCTTCCATTCCTTCCAAATTTGAATCACGAGTAAGTATTGTTTTTATCTCTACTTCAGCATTATCCTATAACCTACATATTACTAAAGATGTGCAGCATTTTTCCTAAAGTATACAGATTTTTTAATTTGATGGAAAGTATTTGAAATTCATACATATAGTAAAATTTATACACACACACAACATTACCTTAAATCAGTATGATATAGAGACATCTACACTCACAAGTATACTATATCACTATATATATAATAGTTATATCAAACTAATTGTTCATCAATGTGTTCATCAGTGGATCAATAGATGGTTAAAATGCAGTGTATACACAATGAAATGCTATTCAGTGCATTTATTTCGATGTAAGTATTTATATGTTTGAACTTATATCTAGAATTCATTTTGTTTTCTGTTTGACCAATGTGACCTTTATTAGCCCTTATTTTATCTTTGTTTTAAACTTTACCAGCTTTAATTTTATCTGATAATTTCATGATTTATAATATGACTTTAACATGTCACAGGCTACATTATGTATAGATTATATATAATATAAAACATATTTCATTATAGTACTATTTATTGACATTTAAAAATCATTATTACACATTCCAATTTTCTTAGATGTCAATTCAGAAGTTTTAATAGTAAGTTTTCTTACAATAGAAGTTTTTAAGAAAATTAAATAGCAAATCTGAAGGTTTTTATATTTGCTATATATGTTTCTTATTGCCTTCATTTTCATTTATACCCTTAATATCCCACTTTTAGTCTTTAAACATGTTGAAGAATGTGGTTTCTATTATTAGAGAAAAATTGCATATTAGTTACTTTTCTCATTTTTGCTATGATAAAATACCCTGGCAAAGACAACTTAAAGGTGAAAATGTTTACTTTGATTCATAGTTCAAGGTTAAAGTCCATCATGAAAGGAAATGGTGCTATCAGGACCTTGAGGAAGCAACTATTCACATTGCTTCTGCATGCAGGAAGGAATGGGTGATGAATGCTGATATTCTGCTAGCTTTCTTTTTATACATTTGGAACCTATGTATCATCAAATGGTGCCGACCACGTTTAGGACAGGCCTTCTTATTTCAATTGACCAAATGAAGAAAATCCCTCACAGGCATGCCACAGAGGCTAATGGGTGATTGCCTCATGGGTGATTCTAGATCCTGTTAAAATCAATATTGACTATCGTAGCTCCTCATAGATATCCTCAACTTTTGTTCATTTGAAGAAATTTTAGGGTAACCTTTAAGGAAATATTTTGTGTATATTGATTCTAGATAAAGAATTTTTATTGTTGAGAAACTATATACATCATCCTCATTGCTTTGTTGTTGTGTCGTTATTTCCCACGATAACTAACAGGGTGCTTACAAGTAATGAACTTACTTTTCCTGTCTGATTTATTTATACAATCTAGCTGGATATTACTACCTTTTTATGGATACCTTCCCATTTTTAATTATGAGGTTTTTAAATTTTTTAAACTGTGGATTTTGATTTTTACCAAATAAAAGAATTACAAGATTATTTGTTGAAAAACTGTGTTAGCATATCTAACATGTTGTGATAAAAATTATATGTATTTCTTTTGGTTTAGAAAGTAATGAGATTTTTAAGGATATATTCCTAGATATATATCATTTTATTTGGTCATGTTAACCCCACTATCCTCTCGTGTATTTTCCTTTCCACTCCTGTATTGTCCTACATTTATCTTGCAAACAAAAAAAAAAAAGGATCTTTTCCTCTGCTCACTTACATTTTTTTGCTTATCTGTACTATAACACAACAGAGAAAAATAGAGAAGTGGTTGCATTTTTTCCACATTCCCTTTCATCTTATAAAGCATTTTATTGGGAAGTAAATCAGATGAGTAAGTATGATAATATCAAACTTTTTATGTTAAAATTTTTACTATTGTAAACATTTTATTAAAATTAATGTAATCTTGGACCGATTAGAGTATTTCTATTTACTACATAAGATTCATGATATCATTTGATAAAATATGGTAAACTAAACACCTTTAAGAAACTTACTGCACATAATTGATAACTTTTCTGATTGCAAGATATCATTCACCCTATAACATCACAAAACATCAACAAGAATGGAATAAAACAAATCAATAATACTTAAGTAAAAAAAAAACTCACAAAATTGGAAGAGGGAGATATAAGTAAATGAACCATTAATAATTTCCCATTTATTCCCACAGACAAGACTCACAATGACCGAGACGCTAACCAATGTGACAGATTACATTGAATTCTTGCTCATGGGATACCCAGATGGCCAAGTGCTGCAGACACTGTGTGTCACCCTTTTCTTCTTGATTTACCTAGGAGCACTAGTGGGAAACTTCCTCATTATCACTCTCATCACTATAGCTCAGCATCTCCAGACCCCTATGTATTTTTTTCTGAAGAATTTGTCCCTGATTGATATATGTTATATTTCTGTCACAGTTCCCAAATCCATCACAAACTATGTGACTAACACACATTCTATCTCCTTTGTGGGATGTGTTTTACAGGTTTTCTTTGTTACATTTTTGGCAGGAACTGAGTTTGCCCTGCTTTTGGTGATGTCCCATGACCGCTATGCTGCCATTTGCTTCCCTCTACACTATGAAGCTATCATGAACAGAGATGCATGTGTTCGGATGGTGGTGGCAGCATGGCTCAGTGGGTGTATCTATGGGTCCCTCCATGCCACCGGAACATTCTCTGTCCATTTCTGTGGTCCAAATGTAGTGCATCAATTTTTCTGTGATATTCCATCACTTCTCAGACTTACTTGTTTTGGAGACCAAATTCTAGAATATGTGTTTATCATTATTAGCTGTTGTTTCACTTTCATATGTTTTATATTGATGGTTATTTCCTATGTTCACATTTTCACTATCATCCTAAGAATTCCTTCTATACAAGGGAGGTTTAAAATTTTCTCCACCTGCATACCCCATCTTACTGTGGTGACCTTATTTCTCTTTTCTGCATTTGTTGCATATTTAGGCTCAACAGCAAAATTTCCATCATCACTGAACCTCTTAATGTCAGGGTTCTATTCTCTTTTACCACCAAGTCTGAATCCTGTGATTTATAGTTTGAGAAATTCGGATGTAAAAATGGCCCTGTGCAACATTCTTGGTGATAAAATGCCACAAGTCTCTAAATCTTCAAAATATTAGCTAATTTACTACAAACTATGTAAAAATATCTATTCATTCAAATCTGTATTAAAATTATTTGGTATGTGTTATTTTATCATACTATTGTAAAAATGATACATTTTATATATGGAACTGAACACTAGAGGTATTTGTAAAATTATATAGTGAGTAAAAATTTTCTAAGTATTATGTCTATATCAATAAATTATAGGTTTAGAATAATATTTTTCATTTTATAGCCATATATTTACCAATACCAATCTCATTAAATTTTGTGGGGTTTTTTGGTAATGCATCCCAAATATAGATATTTTATATTTTCTTTTAATCATTCTCTTAATTTTATCCTTGCAGCAATTAAAATACAAATTAATTCCTAAGTGGAGAAATCCTAACATACTTTCCTCTGTCTTTTAAAATTAGAAATATATTATTTAATTCATTTAGCGATGAATTTTATCATGTAAATATAACATTTGTACCTATGCTTATGAGACTAGTGCCTAAGTATGTTGGTAATAGTTGACAAGGGCCAATCAATTAATTATAATATTAAGAATATTGATAGTATGGATTTTTAGGTAAAATAGAATGAAAGATTATAGAAATCAAATAAGTGAAATGTCACATTAGAAAGTGCTCGTGTATAAGTTTATCACTCAAGAGAAAGAAATTTCCAATTGTAGAAGTGAAAACAGCAATGGTGTTATACACTGATTTAAGGGAGGAAGGGAGATGTTTTCACCTATCATCAATGTTCTGCATGGTAATGGAATCTGGAAAAAAAAATACAATGTCTCCTGCCCTCTTAGTCAGGTACCTAAAATGTTTCTGAAATAAACACATCACAAGAGAAGAAAAGCTACTAGAGTCCTTATAAATATTTGCAAATATATGAAATATTTGTATTTTCACAATGTTTGTGTTACGCATTCCAAAAGATAAAAAAATAAAAGTCCATGAATGATAAAAATATTTTTAAGAATTTAAAGCTTAATCAGGCATATTAAACATATCTGAACTTTCTCTCCTTTTAAACTTCTAACAAAATGAAATTAATAATATTTTAATAGCCTAAGCATGAAATAGTAAGAGAAGACAATATCCTCAGTTTAGTAAGTTTGGCAGTTGATAGGTTCATCACAGAGCTATACTCTAATTCTAAATCAAAATTTTATTTAAAATTACCTTATGGTGGTTACTTTGATTGTATGATAGTTCTTTTAATACCTTATTAGGTATTTAATATCTATCTATTCTTTTATCATGATTGCTGATCAGTATGATTATGGGCATTCCACCATTTTTTTACTTGCTTGAGAAACCTATCTTTTCAGATTCTAAATTTTGATGTATACTTGGAGCTTTATAGACTTTTTAAGAATGTGAATTAATATATAAATTATCTTAATACACCGTGAAAGTTCTAGATTCTCAAAACTTTGAGATGCACAATGAAATGTCATCAAAGTAGATTATCAAGAGTTTCTATTTATTCAATAGGGCCCATCTCCTTAGCTGGCAGGACAAGTTACATTGGGAAAAAAAATCCCAACTGGTAGCTTCTTACTTGGAGAAAATATTGTATATAGCAAAACTATTCTTCAAAAGTATTGGGAATGTAAAACTTTCCTAGAAAAACAAAGGATGAGCGAATACATTCCAACTTGATCTTTCTCACAAGAAATTCTAATGGACTCCTTTAAAAGAAAATAAAGTCAGTCATTCTAGACAATAACCCAAGAACCTACAAAATACCAAATCTCTTATACATAATTATATATTTAATATAAAATTTTATTATAATGGTATGAAAATATTTTTATATCTGAAATTTAAAAATCACACTTATTCATCATGTGTTTGTACACACAAACCATGACATACATGTGGTGTTAGGAGAAAACATGTAGGAGTTGGTTCTCTTTTTCTATTAAACAAATCCCATGAGTCAGGTGATTAGGAATGGCTGGTAACACCTTTTGCAACTGAAACATCTTGTCAGACTCAAATCATTTTAATTATGGTATAAAATTCAAAAGATAAATGTATATAACTGATTATATATCAGGTTAATGGATAAACAATATGAAAAATTAAGTGTAACATCAATTATGTCAAGGTGAATGGGATTGTATATGAAAGGTTTTACATGTGATTGAAAAATAATTAACAATTAAAATTCATTATAACTTCTAGACATTTTTGTAATCATCATAATTATAAAACAAAACATTTATAAATATATGTAAAAAATGATAAAGCAAACTATGAACTATTACATGAAATAAAAACAAAGCAACATGAATAAATTATTAAGAAAGGAAAAGAGGTACAAACTAAGTAGATGACATATAAAACACAATTCAAGTTCCATCCATTTGCTTGCAAATTTCAAGATTCCATTGGTTTTGTTTTTTTCCCCCAGAGTAGTATTTCATTGTGTAAATGTGCCACATCTTCTTTATCCATTCTTCAGTTGAGGGGCATTTAGGTTGCCTCCAGGTTCTTGCTATTACAGATAATGCTGCTACGAACATAGTTGAACACATGTCTTTGTTGCATGGATGTGGATCATTTGGGTATATGCCTAAGAGGGAGATTGCCCGGTCCTGTGGTAGACTGATTCCCATTTTCCTGAGGAACCGCCATACTGATCTCCAACTTATCCACCATCATAGAGCCCTCATCTAGTAGCTGATGGAAACAGAAGCAGACACCCACAACTAAACACTGAGTAGAACTGGAATCCAGATGCAGAGAGAGACAGGACAAGACCAGGCTACAGAAACACACAGATACAGCTGACCTAAACAAGGAGGAGCTAATGGGCCCCTAGACTGATAGCTGGGAAACCAGCATTGGACTGACTCAGACTCCCTAAACATGGGTCTCAGTTAGAAGGCCTGGGCAGTCTAAGAGACCTCAGACAGTGGAATCAGGATGTATCCCTGATGCACAAAAGGACTTTGTGAGCACATTCCCCATGGAGGGATACTCCCTTAACCTAGAGGCAGGAGGGAGGGCCTAGTCCTCACTCCAAATGACTTGACAGATTTAGATGACCCCTCCTGGAAGGCATCACCCTACATGTGGAATGGGAGAAGGAATGGGATGGAAGGTTGGTCATGGGGGATGGGATCCTCCCATTGGAGGATGGGAGAGAGGGAGGGAGGGAGGGATTGTGAACTGGGATCAATATGTAAAATAAGAAAAAATATAAAACACAATTCACACAATCAACGCATCAAATTCTCCCACCAGTAATTTCTTTCAGTGTAGCTACAGTACCATCTTTTCTTTTATGATTTCTTATAAATTAGCATACAAAATACAAATTTCTCATAGATTTTTATTCATGCTTTTAATTTTTACTACAATAATTTTATGAATCCTTTTATAGAGTTTCACATAATGTACTTTGATCACATTTACCTATAACTCCTTCCAGATCCACCTCCAATCTCCTCACCCCTTCCCAACATTGTATTCTCCATTTTTTAAAATAACCCACTAAGTTCAATTTGTGCTGGCCAATTTCTCCTAGGTGTGCAGCCATTTATGTAGTTGATCCACTAGAAGCCATGCCAAAGTTATAGATATTGGATTGTGAAACCCTTCCTCCTCCTTGCTAAAGTATCAACTTGCTTGATTGTATTCAAGACTTACATAGGCAGCTATAGCTGTTGTAAGTTTATGAATGCAGTGTTCTGACATGTTCAGAAGACAGTTTTTCTTCTGTATCTTCTGATTTGTGGCTCTTACAGTCTTTCTGCAGTCTCTTCGGTGATGGTGTCTGATTCTTGGGTGGGAGCCAGTGTATGTCAAAGATTATGCCATTTATGGCTGGACATTCCATAAAAAATTATTCTCCTTATTTTCAGCAGTCATGAGTATCTACATTAGATGAAACATCTCTGATGGGAATTGAGAGTGGCACTAATCAATGGGTATATAGTGATATGAATTTAGAAGTTAGTTTTAAACTATGTCCATTTTGCAAAATAACAGTAGTAGGTCCATACTCTGTGCCTCATACTCTGTGCCTGTGAATATTGTGAGCTATTTGATCACACCTTGAACACTTAGTTTGTGTTAATTAAATAAAACCTGGGGCCAGGAGGTGGAGTCAGCAACTAGTTGACAGGAAGTCACCATAAAGTGTTAGAGGGAGCCTAGAAAATGGATAAAGAAAGCCCAGGAAGTAGTATGGAAGAACTTTGAATTTGGCGCTTTTTTGGTTTAGGATGGTGGAAGTGACATTCTCTTGCTGGGTCACCAGTTAAGAAGGAAAGGCATCATGTTGCTTCTTAGCTCTTCTGAACTAGCAGGTTTTGACCCGAGTATTTGACTCTTGAGTCTTTATTGGTAAAATAGGATGATAGGGACTTATTTAAAAACTACATCTGGCTGAAGAAGCAGAGATGATGCTGGAAGGATGCAGAAGTCCCACTGAGCCTCAGCCTGTGCAGCAGGACAGTTATTGCTATCCACATTCAGTAGCTGAAATAGTCATAGACTTGGTTACAGCCACAGTGCTAATGATAAAACGTGTGAGCTCCCCAACCATAGGTTCTTGGCAAGATTTATAGTATGAAGCATGTGTTTCCTCCTGTGGAGCATACCTTAAATCCACTCATAAAGTAGTTTGGTTACTCCATAACACTCATGCCATACTTGCACCATGGCATATCTTGTCACACTAGCCCTTACTATAGCTCACAGCATTTAGAGCTGTTTACATACCAATTCTGGTACTATGAAAGCTAGTCTGCAGGGAGTAAGCTTTCTAGTCTTTATCTACTTGACTTCTCCATATTCTGTGTTCAAAGTGTGTGGTAAATTCGGCAATTAAATTTTACCATCAAGTTTTCCTGAACAACTATAGTAGTGACAATAGCTTGTATTATTTTTGGGTTCTCCTGAACAATGATGACAAACAATTTAGGAGAGATATTCCATATCTTTTACTGTGTTGTTAAGGAAACCTGTGGCATCTGGAAGGAATATTATATTTG